GATGAAAATTTCTCCAAAACCCACTTACTGCTAGTACAGATGATTTTCCCCACCACCTGCAGAACTGACTCAAGTTGTAAAGCCCTTTGATGGGAAGGGAAACGGAATTGTGGGAGGGTAAGGGGAACTGAAAAGAACAATAAGGGCTCTGTAGAGTGGAGGAAGAGGGACTTCCAGGGCTAAGATTTCAACACACGACTCCCAAGGCAAACTTTGAGGCAGCTTCTCCCTTCCTTCCCAGGGCCGGTGAACCTCCCAAGTTCAACAAACAGGGAACCAGGTGGCTCTTGGTGTCAGGTGCCACCTGTCCTTTACCTGCTTTCTCAGCAGGTCTTTTCCAAGAAAACCAAAGAAATCTACAATCTAAAACCCCAGAAGTTTGCACTATGACACGAGGGGAAGTGGGAGGGAAAAGGTCAATGCTGATACATTTCTCGCTAAGAATGGGTCTTCACATGGAATTTTCGGGGAACCTGATGACTAAAAGAGGCCCCGGGGAGGAGAATGACCTGCTGCATCCAGAACCCATTTTTAGGATGAGCAGTAATAATGTTCAAGAGGTATGGCAAGCAGGCTTGCTCAACTAGGCCAGAGGTTCTCAACTGGAGTTCTCAATGGGGTGACTTTGCCCCCCAGAGGGCATTTGGTAATGACATGCATGGCTGTCACAACTGCTGGTGGCAGGGTTTGGGGGAGTGGTACTGGCATCTAGAACCAATGATGCTGCTACATAGCCTACAATGGCAGGACACCTAGCCCCTCCCCCAACAAAGAACTAGGCAGCCCAAAATGTCAACAGCACCGACACTGAGAAGAACCCTGCGGCGCTAGACTCACCCCATCCACGCAAGCATCTCTAGATGCCTGCAGTATTTGCCATCCCTTGGACTGAGCGGCTACCCTGCCACGGAAGTCCACTTACCCTAATGAGCATTGCTACACATCAGGCAAATGATGTAACAAGCAAATGCAACATCTGTTAAGGACCCACATGCCCTCCCAGCAAACATTTTTAAGGGCATTCCTCAGGATCCAAGACAGGAAATTCTTCTACGACAATTAAAATGAGCAGAAGGGAACTTGCATGCGCGCGCACGCATGCACGCACGCACGCACGCACATACGTACGCCCGCATGCTGGAGCAGCCATCTTAAAAATCCCCCCAGGGTGTCACTGGCAAAAAAGCTGCACAAGTTAGGGTGGCCCAGGCCTTTCCAAAATAGTCGAGAGAGAGAGAACAAACCAGGAAAACTCCACAACCAAAAACAGATTCGTCCCTGGGTCTATCTCCCAGCTACAAACAGTTCCATCACTCCAAGTTGCACCCATGGCATGCAGTTATCTTTTGTCAACTGTGAGATGCAGTAACATGTAAGAAAAGAGGAAAATATAAAGACACAGCCTAATGAACAACAGCGAACCCCCCTACAGCTCGGGCCAAGAAATCTCACAGTGGCGGCCTGGGGTATCTTCCCGCCAAGTGTGCTTCCCCGCCACGCACACAGCAAGAGAAGATCAGTGCTATTTGGAAATGAGATCCCTTAAGGATTGAGATTTATTTTATGTGTTTACCGAAAACGGTGACTGCTAAATTCAGAGCAGTGACCACAACGTGAACAGATTTGAGAAGGAGGCATCTCTGGAAGCAACCTCACGGGCTGCTAATTCACAGAAGCAGCGGGAGGGAAGGTATGGAAGCGCCGTGCCTGGAAACAGTGGGAACACCCAGGTTGAGAGCCAAGAGAAACTTGAGTTGGAATCCAAACTCCGGTCCTTCCTCCCGCGTTCTGGGTATAGATGCTGTCTCACGAATCATAAAATAACTTCCTGCCATACCACAGCATTGGAAAAATTCAGCAAGATACGTGTTTAAGGCGGCAAGCAAAGAAGCTCACGCACAGATGCTCCTTCCACAAACACCAGGTTCCCTGTCCTCCCCTCAACAGGCAAACACGCAAGGTGGTCAAGACCACATCTATAATATGAGATTATTTGATTAGTAACTTTCCTAATCCCAAAATCCTCTCAACTGTTTTACGCAGGTGATGATACAAGCCCACTTTCAAGTAACTCTGGAGACTTTGGCCAGAAAGCGTCTGAACCAGGCTTGCAGGCCCAGAAATTACCTTCCTGCCCTCTCCTACTCACATCCCCGTCCTTCCCCCACCAATCCCAAAGTAAATGGCCTAAGTGGGCTGTCAGGAAAAAACACCCCACACCCCAGGAGGGAGGCTTCTGCTCAGCTCTTTGAAGATGAAAAGCAACAAGGTGTGTTTATTTGTACTTCGGCGCACAGTCTCATCTACCTGGGCTGTGCCGCACCAAGCTACTCGGCTAGTAAGAATTACTAATAAAATCCACCTGCTGACACCATTAAGCAGACCTTTCCAGGAAAAAAAGGTCAATAGCCATACTCCTGGGAGTACACATGGGGGAACCCTGAGCCTTTCCACGGACAGGAAGAGAATGTCACGGAATCCAATCAAAGGTCAGCCCGGGAGGAGGTAAGAAGACTGACCACCATCACACATGTCTGCCTTCAGGGCACTTAACCCACACAGTCCACTGCATGAAGAGACTGGACATTGTATGGGCAGAGTCTTTCTCACAGGATACATTAAAAAATAATAACAGCCAAAAATCAATGCTTCACTTCCCTAACACAAGCAATAAAAACAAAGGAAGGAAAAAAAAACCCATGAAGGTGTCTGAGATGGTTCCTGAACAACAAAGGCTGCCAGACTGCTCTTGGAATGCTTGTTGTGGCCTTGAAGCCCCACAAAGATCGGGAACTCTGACTCAGGCTCAACTTTGACCCCAGGTTTCTTCAGAGATTATCAAAGGGACACACAAACCTGACGTACTGGCTTAGACAACCTCTCGTTTCATCAACTTCCCAGAAGATGAAAATGTAGGATATGGGATACAATGGCAGGGTCTCTGGTCCTGCGATGGACCCTGAACTGAACCGCATGGGCTCCTCTATAGGCTGGCAGCCCAGGCCGGCATCAGGAAAAAATGGCCAGCCCTGTTTCTGGTAACACTTCATGTTAGGTCAAGGAGGGAATCTATGCTAGGAGGAGATGCTTCTTGCAACAGGAAATACGCACACACCCCAACCTGCCTGGAGGTTTATAAACCAGCAGCTGTAGAGGTGACTCAAAGCCACACAGGCTCGATGACCATGGATAACAGAAAAACACCACCTGGGACAGTTAGGCAGTTCTGTGACCCCACCCCACTCTGACTATTTTATTTATGTTAGCCCTGTTTTATATGTGCATATGTGTTAAGTAACCAGCACTGAACAAGAGAAGGACAAAATTAACTTTATGGCTATTTTTACAGAGATGGGGACTCAACCAAAGCAACCAGGACCAACTGGGAGATGCAAAAAATAGTTTCCACTGAGCCACGAGCAGCTCTCTGAAAACACACACACACACACACACACACACACACACACAAGCGGGCTTCCAGGCTGTCCTACTTGGGTGTTATCCTGGGACACACCACGGCTATGCAAATTGAGAGCGTCAATCTAGGTGGATCTTCATGTCCGAGATGCCCTGGAAGTGTGCCTGTTCTGCTTCCGAATAATCATTCACATCAACAAGTGGCTGCCAAACGCCCCCTTGGAACTCCCTCCCTGGAATGGCCCAATAGTTCAAGACAACCAGGGCACTCTGACCCAGACCTGGTTAAAAATCCATAGCGGCCACCAGCATTCCACCCTCTCTGGAAGCCACAACAATTTCACAGATATCTAAAGGGAGGCTCTGAGGAGTGGGGAGGGGCTTGGAAAAGGCTGCCCAGTGGCCAGGACCTGGGCTTCAAGGAAGAAGGGAGATTTCTCTCAGCACACTCCTGCTAGGAGGCGCGGGGGTCAGAATGAAATGAGCCTCAACTTCCCCTACAAACACCCCACCAAAGATACCTCCACAGCAAGTAGCTAGAAGCATTTTGGAAAATCAGGCATAAATTACATTATGTGGGTGCCACAAATGTCAGGCAAGCAAGCTGCTGCTGAAGAAAGTTCACTGGGCCCTGTCACCCACTTTCTGGGCATCGACTGCCCAGAAATAAACATCAGGGGGCCAAAGGCGAGCGGAGGCGAGGAGGGGCAGCTGACAGCTGTGGCTGGCAGGCAGGGACAGAGGAGGCAGGGCTCACGGGCTGCAATTCGGAGCGTGCCCACATCAGCAGAAAAGTTCCTGGGAACAGGCACGCTGTCTGGAAGGAAAAGAGGTTTGCTACTCTTCTGGACCTCAGGATGCACTCACTACAGTGATGCCAGATTCAAAGGTCCTCCAGATGAAGCCCGGGTCCTCTCCCAGGGCACCTCGCCAATCAGGGAGTCCATTGAAGGGCGAATGGGGATGGTCAGATGACAAATAAATGATCTGATCCCAGAACCAGTAGGAAAGATTATTAATTCCCAGGCCCACCCTTGCTTCATCTCTTTGCCCAAGCCAAACACAGTCCAGGGAGGAGTGGAAGGGAGCGGCGATATGGCCGGCCCCGCGATCCAAGGTGGGAAACTGAGGCCCGAAGGCGCACGAAAGAGACCAGGGAAGAACCCCCGGGGGAGTGGGGGCGGCTGGCCAGCTCCGAGTACCCGGGCGAATGGGAAGATGGGATTAGGGAAGAGTTCTCTCCTTTCCTCTCCTCTTTTCCCCAACACACACAACACACAGACTCACTCGAGCTACGCCCAATCGGGGCAGTCGCCGGGCTCCCCAGAGCCGGGCTGCACACAAAGCCCCGCCCGCGCACACACACTACACAGCTGAAGCCGGCGCGCACGCCCACACAATAGGACCGCGCGCACCCCGCCGCGGCCCCTCGCCGGGGTCCCGGCCAGCCCGGCGCCGGGGTCCGCCCTCCCTGCACACCAGCGCCGGGAGACGCAGCCCAGGCGCGGGGAGGGGGCGCTATCACAGCCCGGCCGCTGCGCCCAGCGCCCCGCAGGAAGTTCGCTGGACGCCCCCCGACTCACCAGCCGCGCTGCTCAGCAGCAGGCACAGCGGCCCCAGCAGCCACATGGCACGGCCGCCGCTCCCGCAACCCGGCGCCGTCGCTGCCCCCGCGGCCTTAGCGCTGACCCCGCCCCCTCGCCGCGCCGGCCCCGCCCCCCAGCTGTCCCTCCACCCTCCGCCCCGCCCGCTCCGGCCCGGCGGTCTGGCCCTGCCCCGCTCCTCCAAGTTTTGCAAGCGACCTAGCAGCGCGCAGTGCTCCGCCTGCTAGCGCGGTTGTCCCGGTTGTCCCGACTCTGGGAGGCCGCCGAGGGGCCAGAGGAGGGTCCGACCCTTTCGGCCTCTCGCCGCCGCTTTTTCTGGTTGCGAGAATCTAACAGCCCAGGCTCTGTTTTCTGCCTTCTCTTTCTCCCCTTTCCTTTTCCCTCTGTTCCTCCATCCTCTGAGGATGCGGCGCTCACCCCTCCCCGGACCCCAAATAGAGTTCTTTACTCAACTTTACTCAATGGGCTTATTCCAGAGACGGAAAAAAAAAAAAAGTTGGAAGGAAGAGCCAAATACTCTGAGAAACTGTTTTGGTTTGTTTTTTTTTTGGGGGGGGGGTTGTTTTGTTTTTGTTTTTTATTTTGATTTTAATAGGGAAAGTGGAATATGACCAGTGCTTCTCCAAGTTTGATACGCATCCGAAACACTTGGGCATCATGTTAAAAGCTGCCTCTGACTCTGTCAGTCTGGGCTGCAGCGTGGGATTCTGCTTTGCTAACAAACTTGTAGGTGATTTGGAGACTGATGGTCTGTGAACCACACCTGGAGAAGGGAGGCTAACACCTTCCAGGTACACAGGCTGGCCGTATGAGTTATTTCATCTGGACCTGGTCTACCAGCGGAACGTTTGGGCCCCGATTTGTAGAAAAGCAAATGTAAAGGAACACACCCAAGTGCAAAATGAACAGCTGCTTCAATGCAGCTGGGGCTCCTGGACAACACTGGTACAAGTACCCGAGAGTTAGATGGTGAAAAAATGCAATGACATTTTCTGTTACATTCCCATTCCCACCCCACAAAAAGCAAAAAGCTGATGAAAAAAAAGAAAAAAGCCAAAACTGGAAATGACTAAAATGTCCATCAACTGGTGCATGGCTGAACAAATTGTGCTGTATCATTTACAATTCACAATTTGAATGAATCTTAAAAGCATGCTAAGAGAGAGAATCCGGCCCTCTGGGGTACATTCTGTAAGATTTCATTTACCAGGCATGGGGCGAGGGGCAGCCAAACTATAAGGACCAAAATCACATCAAGTCGTTCCCAGGTTCTGGACCTGGGGGAAAGGGGTGAGTGCTCAGGGGTGCAAGGGACCTTTTTGGAGCAGTGGGACTGTTTTGCATCTTGATTTTGGTGGTGGTCACACAACTTAATACATTTGTCAACACATACAGAGCTGCATCCCTAAAACAGGTGAGTTTTACTCTATGTAAATTATACCTGTTTGGAGGAGTCCAGAGGGGGTGGGAGCCAGGACGGCTTGTGGAGGGACATTGCACAGGGGATGCCGTCATCCCATTTTGGATGCACTGCAGACAACCTGGAGGATGCTAAGATGCAATGACTTGACGTTTCGTCTGCTCTAATCTGGAAACATGGAAGCTAAAGTGGATCAGGTCAAGAGTTAAAAATACCAATGCCCGTTTAAGTTAATGAGAAAATTTGATGTGATGTAGGAAAGTTTAGCAAGTTCGATATTACAAAGTAGTTTGTCAAGTATGGAAAATATAAATTCTCCCAAAGAGTTACCATTTGGGTGTTTGCTTTTTTTTTATCCTGGGATCCATGAACATTAGGACACCATCCATGGGCTCTGAGGAGTTTTAAAGCCCCTCAAATTTTATGCAGAAATTCAGGCGTATGTGGGTATATGCATTCTTCCAGGAAATGTGTCATGGGAAGGCCTCTGGCCGTTGATAATGACACCCAAGAAGACAAGTGATTTCTCCTACAGCTGTTCATTCACCTCCAAACATTAATAATACAGAAAGACAGTGGACCTGACCCAGTGCTGTCATTCTTGTCTCCTTAGGTTTTTTGGGCACATGAATTTCAACTCTGGAAATGATTTAGAGTGCCTGGCTTACTCTCTACATGACTCACTCTCTCTCTCCTCTCACACACATTTTAAATATATTAATGTCTTTAAAATCATTTGGACAAGTGTAAAGTCCTCTTTTAATTTCACTTGTTTTTAGGGTTTTACTGAATCACTCCCAACCACCTCACCATACAAGCTGGGCAGGAGGTAAAACCATTCATTAAGCTCTCCTATTTTGCAATTCTTTAGAATTTCATAAAAAACACAGGACACGTCATTTCCAGAAAATGTAAAAGCTTTCCATGATAGTTGTTTGGGTTTCAGGGAGCCAGTCCCAAGCCCTTTTTTGTTGGTTCAATAAAAATCAAAGCCAGAGTGTTTATGTCTCTTATTTACCAAAAATGAGACACTCCGACCTTGGATGTGTGCTCTGACATGGCTGCGCATGGCCGAGGGAGGAAAGAATTTTGTCTCTCCATGGTCTTTGGTACAGTACCCATACACATTCTTGAGATGGAGAGATCTGATCAGATCACTGGGGAGAAGAAGGGTCCATAGGAGGAGTTTGTGGAAGCAACAGTAAACAGTCTAGGACGGGACTGGCTGAGAAGCTGAATGCCTCCGGAGTTCATGGAATTATGAGCAACAAGATTGGAAATGAAAGAAGGGCTCTCAGCTGGGTGGGTGTGGGTTCTCCTAGGCTCTGGGCCCTCTTCTTCCTCGAGGATGCCTGGATGACCGTGCTGCAGCTGCCTGTATTTCCCAATGGATGGAATTTTGGATGGGAGGAAACTCTGGGCACAGCCTAGGGTCCGGCTGGCCTGACAGAGGGTGGCAGGGTTATTCTTCTGGGGGTGTTCTAGAAAGGATGACCTCTGAAGCAGAAGCCTGCCATTCTTCCAACAGTCTGTAGCTTTTGTATCTTGAGGTGCTTTAGTTTATAAACTAACCCTACAGAAAAGAGATAATTAAAACTAATGAGGAAAATGATAGGAGAACTCAGGTGTTAGAGTTTAGCTGTAATTGATAGGTTTAGGTGATTACTAGTGTAACCAAAGAGTTAAAGAGTTTAGGACTTCCAGCCAAGATGGAGGCGTAGGTAGACACACTGTACCTCCTCGAAAACCAAAAGAAGGACAGCCACAATTTAGAAACAAAAAACAACCAGAACTGACAGGAAATCAAACTGTATGGATGTCTGACAATCAAGGATTTAAAGAAGAAACATCCATCCAGACCAGTAGGAGGGGTGGAGATGGGCAGCCGGGCAGAGAGGACTCGCAGCAAAGTGGCGGTGGAGGACCAGGGCGGGCAAGGCTGCAGCTGGCGGAGCAGGCAGTCCCACATTCACATGCAGATAAACTGGGAGGAACAACTGGGACAGACCATGTAACCCAGGGTTCCAGCTCGGGGAAATAAAGCCTCAAAACACCAATTGAAAACACCTGTGGGGGTTGAGGTGCAGAGAGAAACTCCCATCCTCACAGGGGAGTTTGTTGGAGAGATCCATAGGGTCCTAGAACTTACACAAGCCCACCCACATGGGAATCAGCACCAGAAGAGCCCAATTTGATTATGGGTAGCAGGGGAAGTGACTGAAATCTGGCAGAGAGGAGCAAGCGAACTATTCCCTCTCAACCCCTTCTTCATGTACAGCGTCACAACCCAGCAACTGGGTTGCCCCACCCTGGTGAACACCTAAGGCTCCACCCCTTATACAGAGCCATAGAGCTGAGACAAAAAAAAAAAAAGGCCAAATGAAAGAACAGATCAAAGTTGCAGAAAAAATACAACTAAGCAACAAAGAGATAGCCAACCTATCAGATGCACAGTTCAAAATACTGGTAATCAGGATGCTCACAGGATTGGTTGAATTTGGTCGCAAATTAGATGAAAAAATGAAGGCAATGCTAACTGAAATAAAGGAAAATGTACAGGGAACCAGTAGTGATGGGAAGGAAACTGGGACTCAAATCAATGGAATGGACCAGAAGGAAGAAGGAAACATTCAACCAGAAAAGAATGAAGAAACAAGAATTCAAAAAAATGAGGAGAGGCTTAGGAGCCTCCTAAACATCTTTAAATGTTCCAACATCCAAATTACAGGGGTGCCAGAAGAAGAAGAGGAAGAGCAACAAACTGAAAACTTATTTGAACAAATAATGAAGGAGGACTTTCCCAATCTGGCAAAGGAAATAAACTTCCAGGAAGTCCAGGAAACTCAGAGAGTCCCAAAGAGTTTGGACCCAAGGAGGAACACACCAAGGCACATCATAATTACATTACCCAGGATTAAAAATAAGGAGAGAATCTTAGAAGCAGCAAGAGAAAAGAAGACAGTTACCTACAAAGGTAACTGTTCCTATAAGACTGTCAGCTGATTTCTCAAAGGAGACCTTACAGGCAAGAAAGGGCTGGAAAGTATTCGAAGTCATCCAAGATTCCTCTATCCAGCAAAGCTTTCATTTAGAATGGAAGGGCAGATAAAGTGCTTCTCAGATAAGGTCAAGTTAAAGGAGTTCATCACTACCAAGCCCTTATTATATGAAATCTTAAAGGGACTTATCTATGAAAAAGGAGATAAAAAATATGAACAATAAAATGACAGCAAACTCACAGTTATTAACAACCACACCTAAAACAAAAACAAAAGCAAACTAAGCAAACAACTAGAACAGGAATAGAACCACAGAAATGGAGACCACATGGGCGATTATCAATAGGGGAGTAAGGGGGAGAGAGAAGGAAAGGGTACAGAGAATAAGTAGCATAATTGGTAGGTAGAAAATAGACAGGCGGAGGTTAAGAATAGTATGGGAAATGTAGAAGCCAAAGAACGTATATGTATGACCTGTGGACATGAACTAAGGGGGCGGGGGAATGTGGGTGGGAGGGAGTGTGCAGGGTGGAGGGGAATATAGGGGGGAAATGGGACAACTGTAATAGCATAATCAATGAAATATATTTAAAATAAATAAATAAATAAATAATAAATAGTTAAAGAGTTCAGCCTTAACTGATAGCTTAAGAGACTAATGCATGTGGA